ATAGGGACATAGGACCATAAACAATAGACCTTGAAAACACAGACCATTAAAACACAGACCTTATAATGGATGCATGCCAGAGATATATTCAAAAGTTTATAATTCAAGGCTTTTTTGCTACTCACTAGGCATTTTTTTTATTATTTTTTATTTTATTTTAAAACTAACTTTCCATTATTGTTGCATAACATAGTATTACATGTATGAAGCTCACAGGAAAACGAAGTGACTGGATTTTTAAAAGATATTCATTTAACAAACTAACACATTCTTGGTAGTTTGTCTGACTTCCAGAGGTGGAAAGTGGCAAATACATTGTAGGTTTCATGAATTTACATAATGATGGTGATCATAAGATCTTTAAAAAAATAGCAAATTAATAAGAGTCTCCACTTTTGGAGTTACAACTTTTCATTTTTTAAAGAGTTTGTGCTCAAAGGACAGTTTTAATGCCTTGTAGAAAAACCTAGGTATACCCAATACAACACCACCTCTCATTTAATAAATTACTTCTAAAACTCATTGTTACTTGAAATATCAGAGCCAAAGTTTTAGATGATTAGTTTTTTGGAAAAAAAATCATGACAACTGACATTAATTTTGTTTAAGGAGCATGCATACACATTTGCCATTCCTGTTACATAGTAAAAACCCAGACTTCTTTAGTCATCTGGGTCTCATAATCTCAAATATAATTGTTGCTTTCCAAACAAATTTATTTATGTAAAAGAATAAACTTATTGGTCTTTAATAGGCTAATGTATTTATGCATGATCATAATGTTGTTTGTGTATTATTTTCAGAGTTCTTCAAGCACTGAAAGAGAATGAAGAGGAAGAAGCACAAATAATGAAAGATGTCAAAGATTGGAGTGTTGGTGAGAGTGTATATAACACTAATAAGTGGGTCACGCCAATGCCAGAACAGATTATGAAAATGTAGGAATTCCTTGTTTTACCTTTCCAAGAACATACATTTTGTTAAGAACTAATGCCTTATTTAGATCTCTTGTTGATGATTTTTTGATAATCAAATTTTTGTTGTTGGTTAAGTCCTCAGACTAGAGTGATTTTACTTGGTTCATAAAACGATGGTGTAAAATTAGCTCTTGACTAACTGTCAAAGTAAAATATTGGTATAAGTATCTACTATTACATGTATGTATAGCATATATGGTTACCTTGGGGATATCTTGGAAGTAATTTTTGATTTAGTTTTGACGTTCAGACAACCTTTGGTCATCTTCTTCAGGTCGTTTTTCACTGGTTGTGAAGAAACATGAACAACCAGCGGAAACAAAGCTTCAGAACCATGATTATTACATGTATGTCTTATGCTTAATATTTTATCACAGGCCAAGTAAAATTACTCTTATCATTAATATTATAACATCATAATCATTATTAACTCACTGCTACTACAGGTGTAAACTTTTGAATTTTATATTAATTCTTATTAATTAAGCAGATTTACCTTTTAGTGTTGTCGCACAGCGCAGTCCCTCCCCACTAGTAGGGAGGGATCATGCAGCATGAACAAAAACTGGATGCGAAGGAAACTAGTTTAGCTGTGGGTTCAAGCTTTTGTAACTTGATTTCATAGTAAAGGTTGTTCTAAAACTTGTTGTTCAAACTTTGAGAGATGAGGCAGTAAGCTGTGACGTTGGATTGGCTCGCAGATCATATACAATAAGAACATGTGAAATAGGTTACTTATTATGCATGTTCTTGTTCAACACTTGTTTAGCAACAATTTTGTCTTCTCCACATAATTGCAAGAAGGTTGTCATAAAAAAAATTAAATAACAAAATAGGAATTAATTATTTTTAAAGCAAAACAGGAGTAATCATTTTACTGTTTTGAAAGTATATACTGACATTTTTGATATCACCGTGTTGTTATGTACTAAAATATTTAATTTCATTGATCTAGGAGGCTTCAGAATCAAAATAAAAATAAATTAATTCCTCTCTTTTGTTATTTTTGCCGGCACAGCAGTCGAGCCTGAAGTGAGCGAGCAAGAAAGCAATTCTAATTTGCATCTAGGAGGCTTATTAACTTTGTCTTTGATATTAACCACAATGCATTCAATATCAACCATATTGCATCATGCACTTGACCTTGACCTTAAATAGCAGATACACAGGAATGCAATATCAAAACAATACTTGTAGGTAAGCTTCGTTTTTATTCCAACTGATCACTTTTCCCAAAGATTCAAACAATGCTTGGTTTTTAATCGGCTGATTCATTTATCTTTCTGTTGTAATTTCTACAATTGTATCCTTGGCTTGGTTCACTACAGAATTATCATCTTTAATCATTGGCTTAATCCTGCGGAGTTGTCCCCTTTGAATTTCAAACTATAATCCTTTTTTTATTTGTGTTTAAATTTTTCTTTCTCAATATAGTTTTGTATTGAAACTACGGAGGAATCACGTTTTTTTGCACTTAAACCTGAAATCTTGCCATTTCTAAATTCTCACAGGTGTTGACTGTGCTCGTAGTATTCCAAGCCAATTTCATGTTAAACCCTATTGAAATGCCATTGATAGATTCTTGCTATATTCTATGTAATTCATTCTTTATATTATATCTAAACCTGTAACTTTTACCATTTGGTATAGTTTTATAGTGTTATATTTCAAAAATGTTAATAAACTTGCTATTTATGTTTCATGCTTTTAGTGTTTACACTCATTCTCTTTACAGACCAAATCTAAAAAGTCGGCAACTCTTACCAATAGAGTAGCCTAGTTTATTTATATATGATAACATTATTGCAACTAGATGTATATAAAACAATCCCAGATTATATTTGCACTGCAAAAGAAATGCTGCATTTTCTATTTTTCTGTATTTGTAGTATGCCCCTGAGAGTGGACTCCTTTGATGTAGACAGTTTAAACCTCCAGTGATAGTGTATAGATCAGACCTGTTCATATTTAAAAGGTCTACTCCCACCTGAGATAGGCCGTATATCTTAGTCCTGTGTAGAAGACCCACAGTGATAGGAAGTATAGCCCAGTCCTGTGTAGGAGAACCCCCTGTGATAAACACAGGGTCGGATCCAGGAATTTTAGGAGGGGGTGACTATTACAAAGGTTTTACCAGGAATTCGAGAAAAAGGGGGTAACTGTTACTAACCATATAATGAGAAACTTGAGCTTTAGCCGGGTGACTAGTTACCCCTTTTACCACCCTTGGTTCCGCCCCTGAGTATAGCCCATTACTGTGTAGGAGATTCCTGTGATAGACAGTATAGCTAAGCCTTGTGTAGGAGACCCCTGTGATAGACAGTATAGCTCAGTCTTGTGTAGGAGACCCCTGTGATAGACAGTATAGCCCAGTCTTGTGTAGGAGATCCCTGTTATAGACAGTATAGCTAAGCCTTGTGTAGCAGACCCCTATGATAGACAGTATAGCCCAGTCTTGTGTAGGAGACCCCTGTGATAGACAGTATAGCTCAGTCTTGTGTAGGAGATCCCTGTTATAGACAGTATAGCTCAGTCTTGTGTAGGAGATCCCTGTTATAGACAGTATAGCT